ACGGCTATAAAATGTGAAGATAGATGTGTCTCTTAAACATAGAAAATAAGTTGATCATTAAATATAATGACACTAGACAGGGTTTGATGATAGAAGCTAATAAAACAATGTGTTCATCTTCAAATTTTCCCGTAGCATGGAAAACCATTGAATAATGTAAGATGTAGCTTTAAAATTATTGAGTTTTTAAATAATATAATATACACAATCGCAATCGCATTTTTCAATTGATTTTTTTATTGATTAGTAAATGGTTTTTTCATATTTTTATTCGGTATCTATACAATAATAAATATTGTTAATGAATGGGCTGTACATTTATTTTGCAAATTAATTAGGATATTTAATATCCAATATTACTAGTTGTTATTTAAATTACCTAAACGTAAGAACACTAAGAACAGTAAGAACCATTTTTATTTACTTTTATTTTTAAGTAATCAGCACAGATAGGTACTTTTGATGTGTTCTAATGAAAGACTGACGATTTAAATTAAGACCATCGGTCTCACAGACTGATTTTATAGCTTATAAGCCTCAATCATAATTGGTAAATGTGTAAGCTGTGGTCGGATACGTAGAGTTGTAGATCAGCGAGTTCGAGAATGTAAAATTAATAACTAATAAAAATGTATTTAACTTAAATTATCTATAATCTATTTTCAATTCAAGTGTTAGTAATAGTTAAGGTACTGTTCTAACAATACTCTATGATATTAATATAATATAACTAATGGCCAATTAACACGGTACCTATTCACTGCATGTGACCATGCATAATTTCTAGCTCTTTGAAAAACGAAATAACCAGAAATTATTTCCAAACCTGCTTGAAAAAGTTCTGCTTATAGAAACTTGACGTAATAAAAAAACAAAACACTCTTTTTATCGTCATTGTAAATAGGTACTTCGTGTTAAGTTCTATAGCATATTGTCCTCCGCTCAGTGAACATTTTGACTAAAATCTATTGATTTTGCAATTCTTTCGTTTGTCATTTCCTTGGATAATATTTTGAACTTTATTGTAAAAATAACTATTTTTAGGAATTTCTACGATGAAAAATCCGCATGACCGTTCGCCATTGCATCGCGCGCTGTCCGTCACGGCGACTGCATCGACAATTGATGATCCGTTTAATGCGTGCCATTTCATGGACTATAAAGACGATCCAATGGAACCAATATTGTCACTGACCAGAACTGATTTCTAGTCAATAGCGGCCAACATAATCAGCAATTATTGCAAAAGCTTTGGACAATTTTCAATACACCATAATTATTTCAAACTTTTAATTTTTAAATCAAGTCAACATTTTTCTTTTTAATTGGTGATGTAAGAGACTTGAATTGAAGCCGTCCGACATCACAAAGTATTATATTTTGATACTTTATATAGTAATCATGTTCATTATATGAAGGCCAAGTTCAAAAATGACATTTGGGAAACGATGACTTTTTCTTTCTTTTTTTCACAGTTGTTTACGTTAAGTCAACGAATACAACAAAATAATTTCATCGAATTCATCACTGTAATCTGATGCAGAACTGAAATTTATTTATTTCGATTATCACGTGGCCCATGACTGAATGAACGGTGACACAGAATTGCGTAAGAAATATGCGCTCACGTGGATAACGCGGTTTTTCCTGCGTTGCGCTACATCCTCGCACATACTCGTAATATTATGGTCTTCCAACAGTTTTTCAATTCGGTGAGTAGCAACATTAATACTATCATAATATTATAATTTATAAGTATAGCTTTTGTCACGGGATACCCGTCACTGTAGGATATTATGTAATTTTATAACTATGCCAAGTATACACGCACAATATAATGTAATACACTCTTAGACGTGCAGTAGAAGTATTGACCAGCAAATCCACTGTAAAATTATTCTTATTTCTCGTAAAACGCGTGATATGCTCATATTCGCCTAAATTTTGTTGGGAAAACTAATTTTTGTAGACGATAGACCGTCCGAAATCGTTAAACAAAATTCATGAAAATACTCTTCAAGTCTTCAATATCTTCACTCAAAATTTGCAAGCCTGGACAGGTTAGTGATAAATTAAGTTGTTAGAAAAATATTTTAAAAGCTTTACCTACATTAGTAGTTACCGATTTTTTTTTTCAAATACATCTAACTATATGCAATATAGCCTAAAGCCTATATTAAAAATAATCGCAGGTTATATGTAGGTTGAAACAGGTAAACGTTGTGGTGTAATAATTGTGTAAACGAAATGTATACCTATAGGCTTATTACATATTTTAAACGAGTCAAATTTGGCTCAAGTCGTTAACTGAAACTATTTGTAACTAATTTTCATATTTACCTAACACTATTATATTAAGAGTATTTAAACGGTAGGTATTCGATAATAAGAAAAGTATACAGTACCTAACACATATTACTTTGAATAAAATACAGCTCAGGACTTAGCATAGACAAGAACCCCTTAAAATAAAATATAGTTAGTGTACCTATTGCATACGCAATGTTCAGAACATTCACTAAAAAATTGAATTCGTTTACGTTCACATTCATTTTTTCAAATAAATAAGTTCACGTTCTTTTGAAAAATTAATGTGTTCATTTAAGTTTTTTTTATTTGTATACACCGTTTACCTGCAGTCAATATTAAAACCCATAAACATACCCAACTTAAAAATAAAAACATAATTTACACTTTGGAGCATAAAAACATTAATAGTGTATGAATAATATTTTTAATATCTTATATATTATTTGAGTTAAGAGTTTGATAGATTTTCTATAGTATGATAAATTTAGCAGATCGATACATAAAACACGCAGTCAAAAAACGGGGCCGGGTCTCTTTAGAAAAGTTAACTACTTTTTCAGTCTTTGTAATGTTAATAAAAAGAACTATTTTGTAGGAGACTTAAATTTAGATTAAATTGAAAAAAATGTAAGTATAATCCTCAATACACACAATCGAGACTATTCAAATATTGAAACAAAAAAAGTTGAGTAGGTACATGATAAATAATTAATTTATATTTTAATTTTATACATTTTTAAAACTCTATTGAATAAAAATAAAAACAACTTGCATCTTTATTTACAATTATAACTTTATAAGTTATAAATTATAACATTAAATAAAATATGACTGTAGGTATAACTGTATAAATTTATAATATAAAATCATATTATAATAGATAGGTACTTATAAATAACAAAAACTACTTATACATTTTATTGAACTTCGAAACATCATTTTCAGTTTTGATAAAATTAAGTTTTCAAAAATATCATCACCTTAGTCTATGACGTTTCTCGATGTCACTATTGTCACTACACTCTTCCCTGCAGTACTAAATAACCTTTCTACAGGGGAGCTGCACCGGAGAGTAAACCTGCATTAAACTGGACAAATTTGGATAATAGGTACTTTAAGAGATACAAATAGGTAGTCTTTTTAAATCGATATTTTTAATTTTTTAAGAAATTTAAAATTTCTAGATCTGGATTTATTATTATTTTACTGCAATACCTTCAAATGAAATGTAGACCGCATTCACTGCAGTTCTTGGTACAGTTCACAATTATTATCTGTGCGTGTCATCACCGTCGTTTTGTAATTCCCTGGAATGATAATATAGTTATAAATTTGACGGTGCAGCTGATAATAAACGATGAAGTCTACTTGCCCGTGGGTACACCGCTATACGATTAAATGCATTTTCAATGCAATTAGCTGGTTAGATACACTAAATGATTAGGAAATCATGGAAATCATATCATTGACGTCGTATGTCGAGGCCCGCTGGAATTATTTCACGTATTCGATTTATGTTTTTCTAATTAATTTACATAATAAACAAATACATTTTAGAATAGATATAATTTTAGATATTCACATTAAATGGTAAATAAATTTGAGCGCCCCAAAAATCGTTCAAATCCACTAAAAATATGAAAATCGTTGACGTTATCCTTTAGAAAAAAAAAAGAGCGATGTTCTTTTTCGAACACTGTTCCCTGCACGTTATAATATTACACATATAATATAATACATAATATTTTTAGATTAATGTTTCTTTCTTGTTTAGTCTACGTCAGACTCAAAAGCCACTAAGTCATTTTTAATGAAAAATTATATTATTAACACTGTATCGTAATAATAGCATTGAAATATAAAAGCCACGATTAAAGGCTATTACTCGATCGATTTTACTATTCAATAAATGTGTGTAGACAATAGATTGAGCCAGTTAAGTTTAATTTATTTTAACTTGCATTTAAGAAACAAGAAGTTCCCGATTACTATTAGTTATTACTTATTACCATTCGTCGCGGGTGCATCGCCCATTTCAGTTTCATTTTTACTCGAGCGACGTCGTCGAATAATACATAACTTGTATTGTTATGTATTACATAATATGTATTGTATATTTGTATTCGATTTTAATGCGTAAAATGCTTTTTACAATATAGTAATAAATACAATTTTATTATACACATTAAATAACGTCTAAACTAGTTCAAATACAGATTGTAATTTGTTTTTCGTAATTGAAAAACAACATACAATTTTAGAAATAATAACCGTAACATTTGATAAATAATTTTAATAAGATTTAAAATTTTCATTATTGTTTTAAAATAATCATTAAACATTAAACCTTTGAGTGCTATAGACGCAAATATGCATACGTCATGGTCATACAACAACCGTCAAGTGCCATGACTGCCATGGAGGCATGGACGCATATATGCGTCTTTGCTTGTTAAAGTCATTTACTGCTGTTATCAATATTAAAATGTATACCATTAGATTAAAAATTCAAAGACGAATCCAAATACGTTTAGCAAAAAAATATCGGATAAATATCAATGAAGTTATAAGTGATTTAATTATTTTGTTCATTCAGTGATAACCAACATGTGCTGTTTATCAATTTTTCGTATAAACGTTATATTTTTCTGATATTATTGTTTGAAAATTGAAAGTAAGTTGAGGTGAACGGTTATAATATTCTACTTTATAGTAATTATTATATTATTTTTTATTCGATCCGTTTGTATTTCGTAATCATTTCACTGGCTCGTGTATAATATATTGTGCCGTATAATATATGACACTACTGAGTTGTTTGAAATATTTCAATAATTTTCAAGAACTGAAAATGATCTCAGACGAGGACATTTTACTCCATTTAGATGAGATTATTGCAAACGAAGAATCAGAAGATGAATTTATAGATGACATAAATTTTTATATCGAGAATGATGGTATGTATTTTATATATTATATATATATATATACATATTTTTATATATTACTATATAATTTGATATTTTAGTTGTTGTAAAACAAACTAAAACTGTTATGTATTTAATTGTATTTTATTTTGATCATGTATTTATATATAAAAATGTGTAACAGATATTGAGGTGATTGAGCTGGTGGTTTCAGATCCGCTGTCTTCTTATCATTCTCCAATAGACCTACGTACAATAGCACCAGTTAGGCGAGAAAAAAAATACCATTACAGACACCAAATTTTAAATGGAAAACTAAAGGAAACTTTAGGCCAAAAGAACATTATTTTGACTCATCCAAGGTAAATACTGGTAGCCTGTTGCATTATGTATGATAATGAACTAATCTATTATAACTATATCACATTACCTACAATTGTTATAATGTCTTTTTTTTTTAGTGTGGAGTTCAAAAACACGAATTTGGTTTGAATAGCAACTCAAGTAAACTAGAGTTTTTTGAAGCATTTAATTCTGAATTTTTACTTGGCAAAGTAGTATTTGAGACAAAAAGGTACGCTGAACAGTATCCAATGAAATTTCACATCAATCTAGAGTCAATGCTTGGAAGGAAATGTTGGTGAGATGTTTACATTTTTAGCAACTACTATATTGATGTCAAGAAATAAAAAACTAGACATCAAAGACTACTGGTCTACTGACCCATTACTGAGCTCACCAATTTTTAGACAAATAACTTCTAGAAACAAATACTTATTATTACTTCAAATGCTTCATTTCTGCAACAATGACAATCAAGAAAAAAGAAACCGTCTATTCAAATTAGATATTATATTAGATGAAATTCACACAAATTTTAAGGCTGGAATGGTGCCTTTTCAAAATATAGTAATTGATGAAAGCTTAGTCCTCTGGAAAGATAGACTAAGCTTTAAACAATTTATCAAAACAAAAAGGCATCGTTTTGGAATAAAATTATTTGTCCTCTGTGACATTGAGACCGACTTCATCCTTGATTTCATTATGTATACTGAAGCTGAAACAAGATTACTTCCATATGATGCAAATATTGGCATATCAGGAGCTGTTGTAAAAACTTATATTGCACCATACTTGAACAAAGGATATAACTTGTATACTGATAATTGGTTTACTTCCCTAATATTAGCAAAGTATTTATTCAAAAAAAAAAAAAAAACTACAATAACAGGAACAGTAAAAAAAAACAGATGAGGAATGCCCGAGTTGAAAAATAAATTAGTTGTTGGAGATGTACAAAGCGCTCATACTAAAAATATTATGGTTTTGAAATGGGTTGACAGAAGAGAAGTATTCATGTTATCTACTAAGTTTGATGATAAACTAGATGACTCTGGCAAGTTGGACTGTAAAGGTAATCTTGTAATAAAACCAATTTGCATAAATAATTATAATCAATGTATAGGTAGTATTGATAAGACAGATATACTACAAAGTTCAGTAGAATGTGTTAGAAAAACCAGCAAATGGTACAAAAAATATTTTTTCATCTGATTGATTTAAGCTTTTTAAATGCATTCTCTGCTTTTAAAAGTCACTGGACAGAATATGCCAATTGCAACTTTCCAACTTAAAGTAATTCGACAACTATTAGAAAAATATGGTGCTAATAGAATAAGCCCCAGAGGAAGACTCTGCATTAAAGATCAACCATTTTTTCTCAAAAATTAGAGTCAGGAAAAGTACAAAGAAGAAAATGTATAGTTTGTACCAGAAACAACAAAAGAAAGGATACAATGTATATGTGTCAAGAATGTGATGTCGGTCTGTGTGTTACACCATGTTTTACCATTTACCACACAAAACAAAATTATTTTAAAAATACTTTAAAATTATATAATTAATTTTTTGGCAACAAAATTTTTTAAAATAATTTGTATATTATACAAACAATTTATTTACTTTACTTTTATTATTATGTATTACTATTATTATTATTCTTATAATTTACTGTATAAAAAATAAAATTTGTATTACTACCGCTAATTATCGCATTCGTTATTATTTTAGAAACCACTGAACGCTTAATTCTTTAAGTACAATAACTTTGGAAAAAAAATTCCAAATTTTTTTTTTTTTATCATACCAGTTTTAGAGGTCAAATTGGGCCTATGTGATTATATTAACCATTTAGAAAACCAAATTATTTAGTAGAAACGCTAAGACACTAATTGTGAGGGAAAACGATATATTAAACACTTACACACATTGTTTACAAATAAACAGGACTAGTACTAAAAAAAGTCAAACATTATCAGATGTATATATATAAAAACACATAAGAAATCCAATACCATTCTACTTTATCAGACAATAATTAACAATAAATTACATAATTTTCTAATTAAGTTATATAATTTAAATACAATTATTATAAAGTCACATATTTCTTATATTTGTTTAACTTACTTGCCGTTCAAAGCATACTACAAGATAATTCCCATTTCTGTTAGAAAAAAAAAACAAATATTTAAAACAAGGGAATAGATATTTAAGACTAAATGTGAAATAAAATAAAACTATGACGCCTATTTCACGCGAGATTATAGTTATATTGCACAACCAAAAACGTTGAATTGGAATCAGATAATAAAAACAAAATCTCACAAAATATGTACGTATGTATAAAAAAAAATGACAGATAATATCACATGTTGTATTTCCAAAAATAATCCATAGTAAACACAAATGTTTACAATATTACAAATAAAGTAAATATATTTTAGAAAATTACTAAGGCAGTATAAATAATTTTTGTATTGTCCAATTATTATACATTTTACATTAAAATTTTAAAGGAAAGTTTTTATATTATTTTTGAAAAAAACCAACTAAATAACATTTTTTTCCAATAATATACATAGGTTTAACAAATAATAATAAAAAAAGGGATATTAAATGTAATAACCAATGAACAACATTTTCATATAAATAATGCATAATAATTATAGTTAACTAAATATTAAAACTGCTTTAGCAGAGACTAAATAATCAAAGAATACAATGATATCGATATTGTAAATTGAAAATTCTACTAGAAGTAAAAATATTAATTTAATATTTTACAATTTATAATTATTTACATAATACAAATGATTAAATTAAGTTTAAATTATATTTTGAAACTAAGTCAGTATCAAAAATTAATTAACTCACAAACTTAAACATCAGCGTTTAAAATTAAAACAAAAAATACGTAATAAATACATCACAAGACTGCATCATACATTCAAAAGTTAGAATACACAATTATATCTAAAATTTCTTTTATAAATTATAATACATATAAATTATGAATATACATACATACATACATATATATATATATATATATTTAATTTTGAATTCTATAATTGTATAATAATCTGTTGATACACAAATCACAAACAAAATTTAAAATGTTTACAAATTAAGATTCTAAAAGCTTGGCAGTGACTTGTTCTTGGTCAAAGTCTTGTTAATATAAATAATGAGCGTCTGTTATCATAATACCTAATATTATGTATATAAAAAAAAACTATAATTCACCTATTCAAGTAAGCAGTCTTATGAATTGTTTTAGAAAACAAATTGCAAAATAAATTAATATTTAAATCACAAAAAAATAATTTTTGTTGTGTAGCATATAATTGTGCAAAGTTACTTAAAAAAAAAACAATTAAATAGATAAATTAAAATGAATGTCTTAATTTGTATCACCTTAACTTTATAAGGATGTTGTGTAACAACAGACGTCACACATCACCATCAATTAAATTTTGCAACACACAACTACATCTACCATAACATTTTCATTGGACATTAATATAATGAATAAAACATAAAGAGATTATAAAGAAGATTTATGTTGGCTGTCTTTAATTTTGCAGTTAGCTATCTTTTTCCATTTGTAAATATATTTAAATAATTTAAATATATATATATATATATATACATATTTATATATATCCTTAAATATAAGTAATATAACAATTTAATAAAAAAATATAAAACATTAATTGTAATCTCTATTCGTTGGAACCGTCATCAAGAAGTGCAGCAAATTTGTTACTAGTCTAAAAGTAAAAAAATAATAAAGTAAATTATAAAATTTATAAAAATGATAAGAAATTTAAGTAATGGAGACCATGGGATAATCTACAGACATACATATTAAATATATAATATATACAGTATTGGGTATTTATGTTTGCAATGTTAGTTTATTTCCTATTTTGTATTTAAAACGCATTTGGATTTTGGAAACATAAAAAATTGAACCGTCAATACTTAATTTATAATTTTTTTTTTTTTTGCTAAACAAAATTTGCTAAAAGTTCTTTTTGTGCATGTAATCTAGAGTATGTCCAAACTTTTAAAAATTAATGCAAGTTGCAATACCTATATAATTTATTTAATGGTATTTAATTATTGTATTAATATACTATTTAATATTATTGATAATGAATATACACATTTTAAAATTGCGTATTTCCCTTTTAAATTTAAATTTTAAACTTTCAACAATAAAGTATAACTTAATAAATCAGTTTAATTTTACCAACGATAAACTGAATAAACATACTTTATAGTATATAATTTGTACCTATATCGATTATTGAATATGATAACAATTAACAACTTATAACTATTTATTAATAGTTTATTTGAATAGTTTTTAAATTTAAAAATTAAACTTATCGATTTAACTATTCGAATAATTATGGAATGACTTACAAACAATTCAAATAGTGAACTACTATTGAATAATTCGATAGTACCCATCACTAATCATATTTATTGTGATACTTAATTAGAAAAAAACAATTAACAGTGGTATTTTAAAATTATGAGTTAAAAATAATTAACAATTATTCACATTTTTAGAACTAATTTATAGATGAGATTGAATAAGAGCCAAGAACTTTAGTATTGAAACATGACTGATTTTATCTTCACCCCTCTCCCAATAAGTATAGATATAGATTTAATACATTTCTCAAAATTGAAAATTGTATTAAATGTTTTGATAATTTCAAATTCAAGTACTATTTATACTTACAGATTTCTTTAGCTCCTTGGTAATAACAGGATCTCTGTAAATTAAAAGGGTATTAATTATAAATAAACTATTAATTTTAAATTAATTAACTTACTTTTTTTTAACTTCTGTTTCTGATAATTTTTTAATGACTTTAGGCTTCTTTTTTGATTTATCTAAAAAGTAGATAACATTATATTTGTATACTAGTAATTTTAATAAAAAAACAATTACATTTATCAGAACTATTTTTTCCACATTCAATAAACCCAGAATCATTTGTATCTTCTTCATTAACAGATTGATCTTTCACAACGTCAGGTTCACTAGATTGGCCATCAGGGTCAGTTCTAACATCACTTGGAGCTTCTACAACTATAGTTTCAATAAGTTCTGACCCATCAGCTGCTCTATCTGGAACATTTTTATCTAAATCTGAGAAAGTTTCTTCTCTAACACATTCAGATTCTACTGTATCTAATATCACAGTTTCTTCCTGAGTTTTTTTACGAAGATTTGGTGGAATGTAAATGTTTGGTCTTGGTTTTTCATCTTCCACTCTAAAAATAAAAATTGTTTAACATATTAAAATTGTTAAGATATATTTTAATTAATAAAAAATGTTTATAGTACATTGTCGAAGTTCCATTGCACACATTTTCTTCAGAAGACAAGGATTCTTTAATTAAAGAATGTTTTTCCCAAGCATTTTCTCGTGGTGGTGGAGCTTCTTCATATCTGGGGTTACGTTCAGGAGAAGCTCTTCGTCGAGGTATACGATCATCATCATTTGTTCGACGTGGACTTCTGCGTCTCCATGTCTCAACTGATTTAGGCTGAGGAGGTGGCTTTACTTCTGTTTCTTCTTGACACCTATAATAAAAATAAGATTGTTATGATAGGTTTAATATGAATTAAATTACCTAACAAAGTAAATTAAAAATCTAAAACATTTAATCAGTTCTATTAGATAATTTTAAATCTATATCTTAATACAAACATAAATTTAATTAAAAGCATTTAAAAAAAAATTATCTTAAAATTTATTGAGCAAATTGGAGGTCAACTAAATAGAATTAAATTTAGCTGGTACTATGATTGCTCATTTAATTTTGGCTGAATGCTCGTTCCAAATAATAAAGCACTATTTCTGGTCTATCAAAAATCAGCCAATTTTTGGAAATATTATTAAAATGATACTAACAATAAATTTATGGACACAATATGGTAGATGTTTAACTTTATAAGATCTGTTATTATCCATACTTGTTGATTTTAAGAATACTTCATACTACTTTAAAATTTTAAAAGAATTAAAATACAGTTATTAAAATTTAATTTTTTTGTTTTTTGAATTTATTGAGCAAATTGGAGGTCAACTAAATAGAATTAAATTTAGCTGGTACTATGATTGCTCATTTAATTTTGGCTGAATGCTCGTTCCAAATAATAAAGCACTATTTTTGGTCTATCA